AGCTACTCTGCATGATTTCTGTCCAGATGTTACTCGAGTGCATGGAGCAATGGGATAAACATAAGGCGATGGCTAGGAGTGGGCAAGAAAAGAGGAGGTGATGAAGAAAATAATTAGGATGCCAAGGGAAAACAGTGACAGAAAATTTTAAGTGCACATTATTTAAAATATTTCAGTACTATCCATAAATTCCCAGTTCCCAAGCCACTTAACAATAGAATAATAACAGTAAAAGAAAGTGCTAAAACAATCACATTAAGAGTGGAAAACATACAGTACATTGAAAATTGAAACCCTGTGAATTTAACAAGGTGTCAGAAAGAATAAGAAAATGTGTAAAGGTGAAATAACTAATGCTCAAATTATAGCAAGAAAGATGGACTTTAAAGGAGGTTTAATCAAATCCACAAGCTCCACTCACTGGCCTCACCCATTTAAGCCAGATATTGGTCCATAAATTGGGTCCTCTTAAAACAATGGTTAAGAAGATGTTGCAATTCACAAAGGACCAGTCCCCCCTTACCTAGTGAGGAAGGAAAAGAAAGGGGAAAAGGTAAAGGAAGAGAGTGAAGGTTCTTGCAAATGACAGGCTGACAAAGGAATGTTAGGTAGAGAAATGGCGTGTAGAAGAGAAAACAAATACAAGGGGATGGAAAGATGAGTAGCATCTGTGGAGGAGACATTGAAAGAATCAGTGTTCCTACAACTCCTAGAACTAACAATTAAAAGCTTTGTGCAGCTCTTCCATCTTTCCTTAATAGATTTGTTGTAGTAAGAAAAAGGATGGAAGAAGTGGTGGAGAAATAGTAGTGGATTGCAAATGGAAGACACTGATGTCTGGACCATCCCTCAACTCAATGAGGAAGGTGATTGTCAGAGGTGTCCCTCCCATTAGGCAGACTGATGAAGGCGTGCAAAGAGTAGCAAGTCATGCCCTGATACTGTGGGCCTTCCCATCAGCACTTTGGGGCGTCTCACTGGCCCATCTCTGGCTGCAGCAAAGAGGGAAATTGCCAGCTCAGCTTGCCAGAATAGACGTCGCCGTTACATGCCATCACCTGACTTATGGCGCCCCCTATGAATGAGTGATCTCCAAAATGTTCTGTCCTCAACAGCCCTTCTCAGCTCTTGTAAACTCAAGCCTGTGGTCTCCTTTAAGGAGTCAATCCATTTCATATTGGGTCTTCCTCTTTTTTTAAACCTTTCCCAGCATTATTGTATTTTCCAGAGAATCTTGCTTTCTCGTGTAGGCTCTATACAGCTGTGCTGGCCACTTTTCTGCCACAGCAATGCCTTGGCAAAGAAACGCCCAGCTCCAAAGTACCTGATGAGGCATTTCTTCTTACTACTACTGCATTAAATAGTTACATACTCCCCAGATAATTGCAGAAACTTCTCTGACATTTTTACCCTAAACATAAACACCTCTTCCTTAGTATTATTAGGTTAGGCATTAGTCCAAGGACTACCTCCCTCAAACCTCTCCAAAGTATTTGGAGTGCCAGTTTTACTGTATCACCCAGCCAGTACCTCCTTGCCCCAGCAGGTATTTGTATTATATTTGGTTGCTGAGTGAAGACGTCTCTTTGGTATAAATTCTGCCTTCTTCTGGTTTTGTATAGCCCGAGTGGATGTAGGTGTTACATTAACTATTAATAGACTCCTAAATATCTTTCCTTATTACACTTAAAAATAAATAATGAGAAGTTTTGCTCAGGAACAAACAAAAGGGATCTGTTTGGGAAATGCAGGTGAATTAAAGAAAGGGAAAATGAATTTCTTGGGTATACATTTATTTATTTAAGATTTTCACCCCATTCTTCTCCTCAGGAAGATCCAAGGTGGTTTACAATATTAAAACAAACAATACTAAAAGCCGAACAACAATAAATTAGTAAATTTTTTTTAAATTAAAGAAATATCAGATTAAAAACACACTTACAACTAGTGAATAAAAACCTATTAAAAAGAAAAAAGAACAGAAAAGCACAGCAGCCTGCTTTGAAAAACCTTCCCTTAGGCAGTCAGTTACTGTACTGAGAAAAATTCTGCTTGAAGAGAAATGTCTTTTCTTGTGGAAAGACAGTAAAGGTTCAGCTGCATCTCCTGTGGGAGGGAGTGTGAGAGCAGCAACAGAGAAGGCCCCCTCTCCTGTCCTCACCAAATGCATCTGTGAAGGTGGTTGGACTGACAGAAGACCTCCCCGGATGATTTTAAAAGCCAGGCAGGCTCCTAAAGGTAGATGCAGTTTCTTTCTTTGATGGTTGTTGTGGGTTTTTCGGGCTCTTTGGCCATGTTCTGAAGGTTATTCTTTCTGACATTCCACCAGGCTCTGTGGCTGACATCTTCAGAGGACTGGAGTAGGAACTCTGTCCATGCTCTGTTGCTGTTTGTTGGATGGTTGAGTATTTATAGCTGTGGGAAGAGCTTTTGTCCTTTTCAGGATATAGGGTGATCAGTGCGTTTTTTGTTGTGATAAAGGGGAGATATTATCTACTGTATCACTGTGATTGATGGGTGTTGTTAGCTGGTCTTTTTTATGCAATGATCCCTGGTCCTTGTGGCTGGGTAGAGTTTGTTGACCTTTTGCAGGCTGTATTTTTCAGATCCCGGCATGAAAGCCTTTGAGAATACAGTTTCTTTCTTTCTTTTTCTTTCTTTCTTTCTTTCTTTCTTTCTTTCTTTCTTTCTTTCTTTCTTTCTTTCTTTCTTTCTTTCTTTCTTTCTTTCAAGTATTTTTATCCCGTGTTTCTTCTTAAAGGGACCTGGAGTGGCTTATATCATTAAAAGACAATATTAAAGCTAACAATAGTGAGTATGCAAATACTAAAAAGGATACAACAAATACCATATAAAAAACTAACACTAAAACACATTCAAAGTGGTAATGTACAAGAATCTATTAAAAAAACTCCTGCTTGCTGAAGGACAGCAAAGATGGGGTCAGCCTGGCCTCCTATGGGAGGGAATTCCAAAGTCTAAAGAGAAGGCCCTGTTAACATATACTTCCTCATAAACTACCTTCCAATATTCCAATTTTAAGACTAATTCCAGACTGCATACAACACAATTCCTTTTTCCTGATTTTTCCTGATCATTCCCTCTGCTGTCAGTTTTATCACATTCCAACCACACCAACCAATCAGCATTCATCCTTGCATTCAGCATTCTATCACTCATCTGCCAATCATCTTAGCACTCAAGCCTATACAACCTACACTTACCAGTCACGTGCTCGCAGCTATACAACATACAAACCGGGTGTCATTATTTAAATATAGTATACATATATGCACATATATTGCCGCAGCAATAGGCAGCTGTCCAGTGTCAGCTAGGGCCAAAATGTCTTTCATCGCCCTGGATATTGGACATCCACAATTCTGGACTCCGAAGAAGGGTTGCTCAGAGCTTGGCATTTGGGTCGGGCCTGTGTTGGCGACAGTACTGCTAGCTCTTGTGTGAGACAAGAGCAGACTACAGCATTAGGCCAGTGGTTCTTAACCTTTGTTACTCAGGGGTTTTTGAACTGCAACTCCCAGAAACCCCAGCCAGCACAGCTGATGGTGAAGGCTTCTGGGAGTTGCAGTCCAAAAACATCTGAGCAACAAAGGTTAAGAACCAGTGCATTAGGCAACAAAAAGTTTAATTTGGAAGTAGCCAAGGGGAATGGGCAGTAATACCAAGTAGGCAGTAGAAAAAAAGAATCAGAGTGGAACAGGGGCATCTCAAAACATTTTGCTCCCAGAGAGCAAATAGCATCCCTCATCCACTCAAGTGAAGGCACATGTTACGCAGAGCTAATTTATGTTGGCAGGAGGCAGAAGTCCCCCAAGCACCTCTTCCAACCTCTAGTAATAAAAAGCCAGCAAACACAAATCAAATACTGTAACTACTAATTTGCTCCCCTTTTATGATGCCCCAAATCTGTTGCCTTAAAAAAACAACTGCCTCATTTCTGCCAAGCAGACCATAATGATGAACAGTAGTGGGAGTCTGAAGAAAATAAATAAAAATAAATTTGGCAATAGTGGGAGGAATTGAAAGGAAACTAACAGAAGATGATGGAGGAAACATCAGAGATGAGTGGATACTAACACGTTTCTTCTAGGATATGAGTGTAGGCGGTAGTGGTTGATCTATCAGCCCTTCCTAAGTCCGTTTTCTCCTATTTCTTTCTCTATGTTGCTGTCTTACTTTTTTTCCTGTTATCTCTAATCTGGGCAGAATTGGATAGAATTTCATACATAGCCCATTTTAAGTACATCTTCATAAGTGCTCATATTGTTCATAGCAGTAAATTACTAACGTCCTACAAATTGAAAAAAATGCACTTTTTTTGAAGGCGAGGAGGAGAAGGCGAAATGAGGAAGGGAAAAAGCGAGGGAGAATGGAAAGAACTCGGGAGGGGAATGCTGAGGGAAACTGATGATGCAAAAGGATGCTAATATCAGAAGGGGAGGGGAGCAAGGGAGAAAAAAGGGGAAGGCATAAGGGGGCAGAAGCGAGAAAACGGGATGGAGGGAGCCAGCGTAGGATGCTGAGGCGGGAGAAAGAGGGAAGCCTGATGCTGCTGCAGCAGCAGCAGTAGCAGCAGCAGCAGGAGTAGCCGCTGCAAGCAGGGGGACGCGGTCCCTTCTGAACGCGCCAGCGTTTGCGCGCCAAAGGCGAGGCGAGGCGCGCGGCGCTCCTCTTTGGTGTTCGGCGCGCGCCGCGGCCGCGCGCCTCAGACTCGAGCTTTGCCGACGGGCCCCCTTTCGGCAGAGACGTGGAGCCGCCGCCGCCGCCTTTGGCAACGGAGGCAACAGAAGGGGCTCGGGCAGCGAGGATAACAGCGGCCGCCGCCGCCAGCGCCTCCCCCACCCCCTTCTCTCCAGCGTGATGTTCGCCCAGCAACAGCAGCGGGAACCGCCGTCGCCGACGCGGGGCCGAGGCGCCGGCCGCCGCGCAATGGCGAGGAGGGGCCGAGGCAGCCGGGCTGGTCGTCGGCCCCCCCGCCCCGCCCCGTTCGGGACTGCGGTGCATGTTCGCTCCCTGCGAGTGCGTGAGGCGAGGAGGCAGGAGGACCATGAAAATGATCCGGTTCCGGAGCTCGAGCATCAGGTCCCTGAGCCAGGAGATGAAATGCACCATCCGACTGCTGGACGACTCCGAGATCTCCTGCCACATCCAGGTGCTTGTCGCCGGCCCAGCGAAGCCACGGGCTCGTCGGGGAACCTTCCTGACGTTTGCCCCCTTCCTGCCATACCTGCTTCCCCCCCCCCCCCCCCTGGCACCGCCCCTGTTGCTTGGCGCCCCC